TGTCAATGAAGATTAGTAAATGAATCAAGAGAGCAGATGCGAAGTTAAAGATCAAACACTTAAAGAAAACAGCATAATTGGGGACTGCCAGAATCTTAAGGAGATATTTAAGCATGAGATTTATAACAGAGTCTATTTGTTATAGACCAATATTGTACATATACCAACTTAGTGTTGTGATTACATTAACACAATAATAATAATAATAATAATAATAATATTAATAATAATAATAATAATAATAATAATAATAATCCTTTCTAACTCTCAAAATAATAATGATAATAATAACAATAATAATTATTATTATTATTATTATAATAATGATAATAATAATATTCCTTTCTCCCTCACATAATAATAATAACAACAACAATAATAATGATAATGATAATAACAATAATAATAATAATAATCCTTTCTAACTCTCATAATAATAATAATAATAATAATAATAATAATAATAATAACAATAATAATAATAATAATAATAATAATGATAATAATAATAATAATAATTTCTAACTCTCATAATAATAATAATAATAATAATAATAATCATAATAACAACAACAATAATAATAATAATAACAACAACAATAATAATAATAATAATAATAATAATTTAATTTGTGGAAGGATAGAGGATATGTAACAACTGAGCAGCGTCTGTGTGATCAGGTTAGATTGATTAAGAGCAAAAGGTGGCTAAGTGTGGTGGAGTTAGATGCTCTTAGGCAAAGAGTTTTAGGATGTGTTGGGGATCTAGAAGTCAGTCAGCTTGACTTTGGGGATCAGGGAGCTTGTGAAGAGAGTTTGGTTCATGATGCAGGTGTAGTTGAGGGAAGATTAGAGGAGCATGTTTATGGTGCAGTTGATAGTGGTTTAGTTCCTGTTCCGAGTGCAGTGCGTGAGGTGATGGAATTGAAGAGAATTTGGCATGAAGTTATGAGTAAGGATAAAGTGGAGCGTTATGATTTTCGAAGAGTGAATAGATATCGACTAATGGAAGAAACTAGGAAAGTAAATGAGTTAGTGAAGTTTATTAAGACATCAGATATTACTGAGACAAATTGTTTAATTAGAGCTGTATGAGTTAATGTTGCTAAACGGCTAGGTCTATGTGAGTTATTAGAAGATAACAGAGCTATAAGGGGAAGAAAGCCATGGTGGCATAGGAGGTTAGAAAAGGATATCAAGGTCTTAAGAAGTAATATAAGTGTGATGGAGAGTAAGAGAGCTGGCAGATTAAAGAAGATGAGTAAGTATAAGCTGTTAGAGAAGAAATATAACATTAAGAGGAAGGGGTTTCAAGTCGTTCTGGAAGAGCTGAAGCAGCGATTAGTGGCTAAGAGTGGGAAGGTGAGGAGGTATGAGCAGCGAATCAAGCAGTATACTCAAAATTGTCTTTTTAATTCTAATCAAAAGAGGTTTTACCAGCAGCTAGATGGGGGGATTGAAAAGGAAGGGTTTGGGCCTGATGCAAAGCAAAGTGTGTCATTTTGGAAGGGGATTTGGGGAACGGCAAAGGATTTCAATCAGAATGCTACATGGTTAAGAGAGATTGAGGAAGGTGGGACATCAGTGACGCAGGATAATCTGAGTATTGGTATAGGTAGAGTTATGAAGCAATGTAAGAAGATGCCTAGTTGGAAAACTCCAGGACCTGATGGTGTACAGGGATTTTGGATCAAGATGGTTACGGCACTGAATAAGAGTATAGCTAGTCAGTTTGATAAATGTGCAAAAACAAACACAATTTATGCACTATTAATACTAAATATGGCGTCATGTCTTCAAAGATATACAAAATGTGTTATTACTTTTGTATTGCGCAGTGAATTTTCAATTAACAAAATAAAAAAATTAATATTATATCTTTGCTATAGCCTTGGACAAAAAAGTCTCGCAAAGCTCAAAAACTAAAACAATCATAATTGTACACTAATACTTACAAATCAAAATTACATGAATCTATTAGAATATTGCCACAAGAGGTTATACAGTACAAATTTTTACATTGGGTGCTTCAAACTACAGTAGAGGCCCCCTACATTTACATGTATGTCTGTCAGTACATGTATATAGTAATTAACTTATGCAACAAAATAGCTTATGTGGTGAATGCATAAAACATGCGTTGTTTCACAAGTATGCACTTCCAGTCAGAAATTGATTACACAATACAGATCTGATTTTTAAATTTGGTACTCACAGATAGAGAAAAAAATTCCTTTCCAGCAATATCCCATTTATGACAATGCATAATAAAATTTGGAAGTTATGGATGCTGTTTGGACGATTGCTCTGGAATACTAGTACAGAGAAAAGCCATTTTAAGTTATTTTCAATGTTTCCGTGTCATGCCCGTTCATGTAGTACATGAAACCACGCCTACCAGGAAAAACCACACCCAAATCAATTAATAAACGGGGAATGAAGAAAGAAGCACTTTTGACTTGCTTTTCACAGCATTTGAACTATCATTTCTTGTATAATGGACATCGTAAGAGTTGTCTAAAGCCCTGCCATTCATGTTGGCTTCAAATACTAGTAAGTTTTTTCATTACCTAGTTACAGAGTTATTATTACGTCCTCTAGTGCTAAAAGTCCTAATTATGGACTGTTTTGAACACGGATCATCCCCATACTTCATTCAAATCCAACCATCGCTTTTCCTTGAGTTTACAGGTAATATATATATATTATTTTTATTTAGAAGTATAATTAAGTTCTTTACATGTAACGTTAAAATAGTTTATTGTCTTTGCACTTGTGGATGAATCCTATGAAAAATTTGTTGTTATTGTTATGTTTAATGATGTTTCTTTCTCTTACTGTTGTAGCAGGGCCTCCTCTTCCTCTTTGGCCTCTTCCTTGGCCACCTCCCTCTCTTCCTTGGCCACCTCCCCCGCTTCCTTGGCCACCTCCCCCTCTTCCTTGGCCAGCTGCCCCTCTTTTTTGTCCATCTCCTCCTCCTTGGCCACCTCCTCTTCCTGCTCCTCTCCCGCCACCTCGTCAATGCTTCCCTTTACCCCTATGATGTCTCCTTTTCCTCTAACAACAAAAAGAGATTAAGGTAAGTTATACTAATAATAAGAACACAATACACATTAACATGTTTTAAATACCATTAGATCCTACTAACACATGAAGGAATAGTACTGTATGTTCATGTAGTATCATTATTCTTGAAAGTAATATGAAATTAACAAGTTAACTAAAGACAAAGTTACTCACTAAGGGATAGCATTTTACAGGCAAGAATAATTACATTGTTAATAATAATAAATGTACCTCAGACTGATGCTCAATCTCACACCCAGTATTCCTTAAAATTGCAGTGCTGTTCTTTTTGCACGTCCAGCATACATTGTAAGTTCGTCATTGGCTTGATGCTGTAAATGTGGGGAACATACTTTCTCCATATTCTTTTAAAGGAACTTTCACAGAGAGTATGTTCCCTACCAGCATCAGCATACTGCCGGTAAACCATGCGTCGGGACACACTGGACAGCAATAGCTTGGCCTTCCCATAATCCCTCACTCCAGGTATCATCCCAGGTTGTAAAATGGCGTAGTCTTCAGCATAGTTCTCCAAAAATGCTACCACATCTTTAATGCCTTCCACAGAAACAGCAAGACAAGGAATGCGACCAGTGTTCCCATGAACCCTTCAATAAAAATTTTAATTACTCTTCTTTGGATTATTCTTATTATTTTTACCTAGGTTTTATTCCATTTTGAAGGAAATGCCTCCTCAAGTTCTTGTGAGTACCATTTCTGATACTGTATACGAACAAGAAGAGCTTCTTACATATCTATTTTTAAAAGATAAGAAATAACTTATTGTTATAGATATTTTTTGTTCAATACTTTCTTTCCCCTGTATTCATACTCAGTCCTATTCCTCTGAACTGTTTCACAAGATGTTGAAGACTTTTTTCACTCTCTTAATAATAATAACAATAAAAATAATAATAATAATAATAATAATAAATAATAATAATAATAATGATAATAATAATAATATTCCTTCTCACTCTCATAATAATAATAACAATAACGATAATAATAATGATAATAATAATAATAATAATGGAACACCAACTATGCTCAGGTATTAGGGTGGATTAGGACTCATCTAACTTTCTCAACTTTGAGAGCCACAATCTTATGTCTTAGGGGCACACGTACCAAATGGAGATCAATGAATATGGCTGACAGTTTCCCCCTTAACATTATTATGCACTAAAATGAACAAATTACTATTACTTTAATTTTTTTTCCAACACTATTTCTAGTCCTAAACTACTTTTGTCCTACTTGGTGTATTTTGGTTAATTAATAATAATAATAATAATAATATTAAAAATAATAATAATGATAATAATAATAATAATAATATTAATAATATTCCTTTCTCACTCTCAATAATAATAACAACAATATATATACAATAATAATAATAATAATAATATTCCTTTCTCACTCTCATAAAAATAACAATAACAATAATAATAATAATAATAATAATTATTATTATTATTATTAATAATAAAATAATAATTAATAAATAAAAATAATAATAATATTCCTTTCTAACTCTCATAAAAATAATAACAATAATAATAATAATAATAAAAACAAATAATAATAATGATGATGATAATAATAATAATAACAATAATAATAATAATAATAATAATAGTAAATAAATAAAAATAATAAAAAAATAAAAATAAAAATAATAATAAATAATAATAATAATAATAATAATAATAATAATAACAATATTCCTTTCTCACTCTCTTAATAATGATACCAATGATAGTAATAAAATATTAATTAATAAATGAAACTAAAAAAAATAATATTCCTTTCTCACTCTCATAATTATAATAACAATAATAATAACAACAAACAATAATAATGATAATAATGGTATTAATAATAATAAATAAATACATAATAATAGTAATATTAATAATAATAATAATAATAATAATGATATTAATAATAACAATAATAATAATAATAATAATAATAAATAATAATAATAAAAAAATTTCCTTCCTCACTCTCATAATAATAATAACAATAATAATAACAACAAATAATAATAATGATAATAATAATAATATTAATAATAATAACAATAATCCTTTCTCACTCTCTTAATAATAATAGCAATCATAATAATAAAATAATAATAATAATAAATAAATAAATAATAATAGTAATATTAATAATAATAATAAATAATAAAATGATAGTAATAATAACAATAATAATAATAATAATAATAATAATAAATAATAATAAAAAAAATTTCCTTTCTCACTCTCATAATAATAATAATAATAATTATAATAATAATAATATTCCTTTCTCACTCTCATAATAATAAGTAACGGAATAATAATAATATTAATAATAATAACAAATAATAATAATGATAATATACTTCAGGCTTGCCTTCCATCACCTCCATTATCCTCTAACCCC